TTTCAACCAAAAAATCTGATTTTTGGTTGATTGACAGTGGTTGTACAAACCACATGACATATGACAGAAATCTTTTCAAAGAGTTCACGTCTATAGGAAATAAGAAATTCAGAATTGGAAATGGTGATTATATTCTTGCTAAAGGAAAAGGAACTGTTGCAATCCCAACAAATTCAGGTACTAAGAAAATTTCAGATGTTCTTTATGTTCCTGATATTGATCAAAATTTATTAAGTGTTGGACAACTAATGGAAAAAGGATTTAAAGTATCCTTTGAAGATAAATATTGTTTCATTTATGATGCAACTGGACTTGAGATTCTAAGGGTTAAAATGAGAGGTAAAAATTTCTCATTTGATCCAACCGAAGATGAAGAATGGAGCCAAAAGAATCTACTAAGTGCAGGTAATTCTCCAACTGAGGACATATGTGAAAATAAGGTAAGGAAGAAGTTGTCAATATTTCAGATAATGCAATTCTGGAAGAAAGTTGACAAGTCTCAAGGCAAGATGCAAATGAAGCTGAAAAACGAGCCAACTTATTTCATTAACAATCATGAGATGCAGCAAAATACAGAAGTGAACTCGATTCACTGCAAGTCCAAAGATCAGTTGGCAGATTTACGTACAAAGTCGCTTCCAATTAAAGGTATACAAGGGACAAATTCAGAATTTGCAGCTTCAAAAGCAAGGAGGAGTGTTAGAAATATGCTTTAGAAGCTGCTCTCAGTAAAATTATTTTACTGTTTCAGCTATTTACTGCAGTAATTTAGTTTGAATTTGAAATAATTTTGAACTAGTCTTTAGGAGTGAACTAGTCTCTAAGAGTTAGTTATTTTCAGCATATTTTGTGCTGATTTTTAGGTCTTTTAAGTTAGTATTTCTCTTATAAATTGTAGTCCAAATGCAGTAAAATAATATAGTATTTTCAGCTTCAGTTCCTTTTACATCTATTCCAGTATATTTTTTCTATTATCTTGTCATCTTCCCAGTTATTTCCCTTAATTTCTTTTATCAAGAACCAACAATATATATAGAGGATAAAATAAGAGAATGTAGGCTAAGATAGTTTGGTCTTGTCCTACATTAACTTTTATGAACCAGTTCATAGGTGTGACACTACTATGATTTAAAGGTGTTAAACCGAACGAGGTGGACCTAAAATCACATGGAGAGAAGTTATCCCAAAACATGTACAATCTCTTGGAATCCGTATCAATTTAGCAAAGAACAAAATAGAGTGAAAGCAAAGTATGATGTCAGGATATCTGCTGTTCGTGGTGAGAATTCTCTTGGTATCATACGGGTTTTCTTTTTCATGTAAATGTTGCAGTAGCTGATGCAATTTTCTGCTTTTTGCTGGTTCAGCCATGTCCGTCCTGTTGCATTCTGCTAAACTGGCTGTTAAGAGAGAGATTGCTCAAGGTGGTCATATTTCACTAAGTTGTCAGACTATTTAACACTGGCTTTGGTAGAAGCTTTGCATAAGGTTGTTCTTATACTTATTTATTTATGCTCTTTATTTTTTATTTCTATTTTTTGTTGGGAAATTGTCTAAGTTCGCTAAATCTATTTGAGGGTGACACTTGATATGTTATCTCACGCAGGAGCATGTGGCAGAAGTATGTTCAATCATGTTGGATAAATTGAATGAGTGCTTGCAGGTTGGTTATGTTTAAGGCGAATTCTTTTTTATTGATCCAAGTATGCAGTGTTTTCCTATGATGGTGGTATATTTCTTTTGAGTTTTTTATATTCCAATATGATCGAACTGTTGGCCCTTACATCTCCACACAGTAATAACTCCAGTTGCTCCTTCACTAGAGATCTAACAAGGCACTCTTCCAAACTCATATGACTTAGTATTATATTCCACTAGAAGCAAAAGAAAGCTTAGTACAGCTCTTATATAGAGGAAACACAGTGGCAGATCTAGAGCGCAATTTATGGGTTCACAGGAACACAATAGTTTATGCTCAGATCGTGTATATATATAAAGAAATCCAGTAAATGTTTGATTGTGACAATTATTATTGTAATATTAGCTTGAGGTTATTGTAGGAACTTATAATCTTCAAATTCTGGATCCACCATTGAGAATACATGGGTGACTTGCTTGCTAATATGTTCAGGGCATCAAGTAAAGCAGGAGCTCCTATTTGATTCTTAGTGTGTGTGTCAATACAGGCAAAATTTATGCCTGAAAAGGCATGGTTAAACCATAATAATATGCTTAAAATTGACGTATAATATCAAATTTATGACACATAGCATCATCACAAAAGTTCCCTTGACATGACTTGTAACACGGCAGACTTTAGACAGAGTCCCACATCGGCAAAACACAAGAGGGATGCTGGGTATATAAGTAAACATGCCTTAGACCCTAGTGACGCGTTTTAAACCCGTGAGGGCCTAGGCCCAGAGCGGACAATATCACTAGCGGGCTGGACTGTTACAGATGGTATCAGAGCCGCTTTTGTGTCAGCCATGCCGATGGTGGGTCAGAGTTCAACTGAGTTTAGGCAAATCCCGGTTAGGCGGGGCAAACCTCAATGCTGAGTTTAGGCGAATCCCATGCCGTGGGGCAAACCTCAGCGAGGACGCTGAGTCCATAAGGGGGTGTATATAAGTAAACATGCCTTAGACCCTAGTGACGCATTTTAAACCCGTGAGAGCCTAAGCCCAGAGCGGACAATATCACTAGCGGGCTGGGCTGTTACATTGTCAATACTAGTGAGTCTGACAAACAGCTTATTAACTTTGTATTAGTTTGCAGCTTATTAACTTTGCAATAGATTGATTTCAAACAGAAACTTCTTTCCAGTACACCCATGTTAGTCCAACTTATGGCAAAAAGAATATTTCTGTTATTATGGTCCTTTTGTATATTCTTTCAGATTTGTGGACTCCTTTTCTATGAAGGTCAGATTCGTCGCATAGTGAATGAGATAAAGCATGTCATTACAGAAAGTTCGAGCAGAAAAGAAGAATTCACAGAGCGAGCAAAAACAGAAGATTTTGATGCTGAGGAAGCTGAATTGTTGAGGAAGGAAAGAGAGCAAGAAGAAGAAGTTTACGAGAATGTATGTTCTATATAAGAATGGAGTTCAGACATAAGTGCATAGTCTTGTCTTTTCATAAGCATTTCACTTTGGATTATACCATTATTCTTGAAGCACACTAAATTTCTTATTAGGTTGGTAAAATGTTGCGTACATTGATCAATGCTTTCAAGTCTGATTTCCTGCCTTTTCTCGAAGAGTTGTCATCATATTTATTACCTATGTTGGTATGTCAAAAATCAATGTAAACTCTCTAGGTTATCTTTTATTATATTATTAATTTCTACATTCATTTTTTCTTGCAGTTTTGGACGCAAGCAATGACGAAGACTCATCTGTTAGAATGGTTTGTACATCTTAGTGATTGCAACAGTTTCCAGTCAAGTTGCATTCATTATTTTGACTTATCATTGATATCATGTTCAGATGTGTATGGGACAGAACCCGACCCCGCGATAATTAACGAGGCTAATCCCGTTTCAAGCTAATTCATGATTAATTAGTGGTACGACCACTTAGAATTGACGATGTTCAACCCGCATCCGGCTCGATCGACAAGGCCATGGCCTATCCGCCACCATAAAGGCGAGATGCCAACGTGGTCACGGCCACTTATTGCTAGCTCACAAAGCCCACAGCTATAAATACTAAGAGTGGAAGCCCTAGAAAGGGGGCTGCTTCTTCACCACTATTGACAAAAGAGAGAGAAGAGAAAAATATACCCATCTTATGTGAAGAGAAAACACCATTGTAAGGCTCTGAACCTCTTCATGGAGAGGCAGACCAAACCAATATTATCAATAAAAGCTGTTAAGATTTCTTCTCCTAACCTTGAGTACTTATTTTCATGTTCTTCGCTTGGTCCAATGGATTATTACGATTTGCTATGATTTTCCCGTAACTTATTTGTATTGTTTTGCACTCATAAAGCACATGATAACTTTTGAGTAAATAATTTGGCGCCGTCTGTGGGGATTTCATAGCAAAATCGCGTAGTTCTTCCATGGACCAAAAGGAAAGAAACCCCGGAAAAAGAAGAGCAACCCAACTTAAACAAGCCAAAGCGGCACATCATTTTGGGGTCATTTGGAGCTTCGCCGGCGGCGGCGGCGATTTCCGGCCGGCGGCGCTAGGGTGGAGAATGGCGGAGAGGGGCGGGGTAGCGGTGGTGTTATACCGGCGGCTCTAGGGTCTCTGAGGGATGGGGTGAGAGAGAGAGACGGAGGGGTGAGGGGGGGGGGGTAGAGGTTCGGACACTTATATATTAACACCTCATCAGTTCTCAACCGTTGGATCTCTTTACCTCGACGGCTGAGATTAACTGGAACCAAACGGTGTCGTTTTTGAGGATGGGGGACATTGGATCGGGTTTGGGGTGGACTTGGGCCAGGCATGGGGCTATTTGGACGGGTTTTTGGGGAATTTGGGATGGGTTTGGGAATTTAATCAAGACAAGCCCAATTTCAATCGAATATAAACTAGCCGAAGCGGCATATCAGGCCGATGGAACTCGAAGACCTCGAATCGGGATCCAGTTCCTCTGTTTCTCATCTATCGGATGGTGCAAACAAGAAGAAGAAACCCCTCCCCCCCTCTCTTTTGGGGAGAATCTTCGTAAGAGATCTCCCACATCCCTGATAAGGGCTCCAGCCGGAAACCAGCACGGAGGAATCTCGAATCGAGAATCGCTTCGAGACAGCCTACATACCCCGGTTGGGAAGATAACGATTAAGCTGCTCAAGATCTCGAATCAAAACCGAGCTTCAGCTCCCAAAAACCCACGAACCAAGAAAGTTCAACTGCAGTTGAACCGGGACTCAGGCCACAAGCCTTCGCCGTCAAAATCGACTAAGTTCAACAACAGTTGAACCGGAACTCAGGCTATGCGCCTTCGCCATTAAATCCAGGCTATGCGCCTTCGCCAAAAAGTTCAACTACGGTTGAACCAAGACAGGCTATGCGCCTTCACCANTATAATACTAATCAGAAAAACAGAATTAACCTAATCAAAATAAACAGAAGTTGAACTAACAAATTAACATCCAAATAACAGAAAGTTCTATGACTTAAGGCTATCATTTGAACATTTAATAACATCAGGTCAAGATGACAATTAAACTAGCAGTATCAAATCAGTCAAGGATGATGAAACAAAGAAAATTAACCAAGTCAGAATTATGCGCCAAGGCCACTGAAACTAACCTAATTGCTAAAAATCAGAACTAATAAGCAACACAAGAAGGCAACTGATGACTAAACACATGCAAACAACAAAATAAACAAAGAAAGGACACTGTTGAAGAAAAACTTATCTAGGGTTCCGCCGGAAAACTTTGAAATTGAAATTCGAACCATTCCGGTCACATTTGAACCGAACGTCCATGGGGGTCTGATAGGGGAAGACCAGGCGGTCCTATGGTATTAATCTGGGCTCGATTAGGCTACTTTGAATTTGGCCGGAAAATTTCAGTCCAATATTCGAGATGCTCGGGTCAGATTCGAGGGGCGAGACTTAGGGGGTTTGAAATAGAAGGTGAAGGCGGTTAGGTGGTGTTAATTTGGGGTGGTTTGGGCAAGGTTGTGTTTTGGCCGGAAATTTCGATCTAATATTCGGAACGATTGGTTATGATTCGAATGGAATGGTTATGGGGGTTGGAAAGAGGAGGGGAAGATGAGTTTGTGGTGAAATTTTGGGGTCATTTGGAGCTTCGCCGCCGGCGGCGGCGATTTCCGGCCGGCGGCGCTAGGGTGGAGAATGGCGGAGAGGGGCGGGGTAGCGGTGGTGTTATACCGGCGGCTCTAGGGTCTCTGAGGGATGGGGTGAGAGAGAGAGACGGAGGGGTGGGGGGGTAGAGGTTCGGACACTTATATATTAACACCTCATCAGTTCTCAACCGTTGGATCTCTTTACCTCGACGGCTGAGATTATCTGGAACCAAACGGTGTCGTTTTTGACGATGGGGGACATTGGATCGGGTTTGGGGTGGACTTGGGCCAGGCATGGGGCTATTTGGACGGGTTTTTGGGGAATTTGGGATGGGTTTGGGAATTTAATCAAGACAAGCCCAATTTCAATCTAATTTCCACAATTTTTCCTCTTTCCCCTTTTTTTTTTCAAGATTAAACTAAAATCTAAATTAAATTATAAAACCAAATTAACCTATCAAAAATGCTAATTAATCCTAAATAATAATTATCACAGATAATTAAAACAAATTGAAAGAAAAACCACCTAAAATCAAAGTTAAAATTAAAGGTGCAAATTAAACAACAATTTTTTTTTTGTGATTTTCTTTTTTTTTATAAAATGACTAATTACTAATTAAAAAAATGTCCTAAATGCAGATGCACATATATTTTGTATTTTTCCACCAAGATTCACCAAAATTGTAAAAATAGTAATAATAAGAAAAACAAAAATCATTTTGTTTGAACTTTGGGAATAATTTGCTTAGGGCAAAAATCACGTGCTCACAATTAGGACCGGTTGGTATGATTGGATGGGGTCCACGAGGCCTCAAGTGTGTTTTGGGATGGTTTTGGACCATTTTTCTTTGTCTTGTGATTGTTGGTTTCTGGTGTCAATGGTGTCCTTTGCGATTGCGGAGTGTTGTTTGTGAGCTAGGAAGAATTGTTCTTCACGATCGCGGTTGGGGGCTTACGATCGCGGTGCTTGATCGAGTTTTTCTTCATGTTCGCATGGTGAGGATCGTGATCGCGATGTGTTAGTAGGGCTGGCCAGGATTTGAAAGGTTATTCATCACGATCGAGCGACTTGGTTCGCGATTGCGAAAGGTATTTTCTGAGGCTGAAGGTTTTGGCCTTCTCATTCGCGGAGCTGGGCTCGCATTCGCGCAGGCTGAGCTTCATGATAGCGTGAAGGTCCTCCAGTTCGCGTAAAGTGATTTATGGGCGTGGCTGATTTGGCCTTCACGATATCGAAGAAGGACGACTAGGCAGTGTATAAGAATTGAAATCGGGACTTGACTTATTTTTATTTATTTTCTCTCATTGGAGTCGATTTTGGGGCGAATTGAAGGGCTTTTTTTATCTTCTGTAACAAAGTAAGTGATTCGTACCCATTGTGCGTTAAATACATGGATTTTAATATAAACATTGGCCGAAATTGTGGAATATTGGAAGAAGACCTAGAAATGATAGTTTTAGATTTTTACCATGAATTGGCATGGAATTGGAAATATATTATATATTTGAGTTAGTTATGTTATTGGTAATATTTATCTTCGATAATTTTCAGAATCCATACGTGTGGGCCTGGGGTATGACTTTGTTGACTTTTCGTGTGGAGTTGGGAATTATTTTTAATTGTTAAATTATGAATCTTTGAGCATTTTTTGATCGGTTTGCACATTTTTTGACTAGTTTCGGATTGTTTGGCGTTGGTTTGAGGTGTTAGAGAGGCGTTGGAGTCGGTTATCGGATTTCGGAGCGAGGTAAGTCTGCTATCTAACCTTGCGAGGGAAAATTTCTCATGTAGGTGCTATATTTGTTATGTGCTACGTGTTATGGAAGCTACGCACATATGAGGTGACGAATGTCCGTGCGTTTGCTAGAATTTCTGATTATGCCCGGGTAGACTTAGACCCATACCATATCTTAATTATACTATTTGAGTTATTCTTGCCTGATTAAATATTTTAAATAATAACTTAGCCTGAGACTAGACTTGAGTAAGGTACTGGACTTGCTATTTTAGATACTTGACGAGCTAATTAATTAGTAGTGGAAATTATACTTTCTTTTATGAATTTCTCCCGTATTGGACGAATTTGTCCAAAAGTCTCTCGAATTTTATAACTCACACTTTGATCACGCCCAACTATGCCTTATAAAAAGGACTAAGCGGTCGCTGCAAATATAATCCGATTTACAAGTCCGGAGTCGAATCCCACAGAGAACTAAGGTCTAGCTACAGTTGTTCACTATCACCGAGAAGACAAGCTTGAACAATTCCTAACTTATAGATATTAAGATTCTTGTGTTTAACTAATTAACTAACAAATTAAAATAGTAAATTAACAACTAACGATACTAAGGGTTAGAGAAAAGATTAAGGAGGTCTAGAGTTATGATATCCCCTATTGTCGGAATCCTTCCCGCTATGTCTTCTATAATTTCGCCTAAGTATTCTCTACCGATCATGAGCACTCTTATTACCGTAAATCTCTCC